TGTGACGTCTGGAGAGAAAAGAAGGAGTCTGACGTGCACTTCGGAGTCAGGGTGGAAACAAGTTCCTTTATTTTGATATTGCAGAGAAGTAAGTAACTGCGGGGCCGCAACCACAGTAGGTGTTTGAGTCTGGTGTAGTGAGATAACGAAAGCGTTGATTGGGTACACGAGAGATGTACGTTTTTCACATGGTAGCGGAGCCCTGAAAAGGGCTACCCACACCATCTTCCGCTGACCCTTGTTTGTGACAAGAGCTAAGGACGTCATCTAAGGTGAGATTGATTTAAGTGCGACCCGCCGAAAGGCAACGGGCGTCGACCACAAAAAAGTCATCTAAGGTGAGATTGGGATCCTGGATATTGGAGCTCCGTGATCTGGACGCAGAGGCAGAGATGAGCTCGTACTAAGGTGCACCTGTTTCACAGGAGGTGATGATCTGAAAGTATAAGGTCACTGGGGAGTGAAGTTGGTTGGAGTCTGTTTGGTTCAGGTGACTTTGAGACTCTGTTTTTTTGTATAGATTTCTACGGATGATGAGGACCTATCGTTTTTTGGACGAATATTCGTTTGCAAGTTGAGCAAGAATCGGCAGGGTGTGTGCTTGGTAGGCTGGACAGAAGTGGATCCATGTAAACTGTCGACAGTGGTACCTGTAGAAGAGCATACAAGATTAGTCAGCCCTGGGCAGGACACTTGTGACTTGGACGGAGGAGTTGAGTTTGTGTTGACAGTGGATTCTGTCAGAGCAAGTTTTTATTTCCACCTTGTGTAAGTGCGTAGTCTTTGGAAGGCGTCCATGTGCTCTTGGCAATATTCTGGTAGGGGTCTGTGTCATGGCGTGACGTATTGCTAGCGTAGGGTCACTATTGCAGGGCTAAGCTGGAGTATCTGGAGATGTATGCTGGATGGGACGTTCCTGGACGTAGGAGATTCGTTTCGGCAGTATGAAGTGACAGTAGGTAATTTACTGCAAAAATTGGAGATGAAACACACTAAGGTGAGGACGAGAAGAACTGGTTCGCATAATCCGGTGGGACAACTGATTGCCAGGTTTGACACCCAAGGACACTGAGGTATTGGATCAAAGTGCAAAGGTTGGGAACTGATGGTGTTAGGTACATGGTTCTTGCAAACAATTAAGGCATGTCTTAGATCTTGAACTCAGTTGGTCCATGGAGGAGGAGTGACAGGAAAAGGTGTACCAAGTGACTGGAATGAGTATGTAAAGAGCACTTTCTGAGTTGTCGTTTCAGTGTTACTCAATCTGAAGGTAGATTTGAATTTTGGAGCCCAATACGCATGAAACTTTATGTTTTGGAGTGCGCTGTAGATGATTGAAAGTGGGGATCATGCCTGTCGCTGATGGTGCCAAGTGTTGCTCAAGCGGTTCAAAAGTATATCAGATTGCCATGTCCACTCGGGAAGACCAGAAAGAACTTTCGAACGAGGAGCCAACCTCAAGTGGAGCTGGAATGTCTCACTCCAAGGAATTTCAATACAAGAAGGCTACAAAGTTGGATCGTCCAAAGAGTAAGATGGCTGCTGCAAAGGTGAAGGATAAGTCCTGTAAGAGTCAACCTTTCTCCACCAGGAAATGTCGGGCACCTCTCGTTGATGCTGCCACAGCGCCTACTCCTATAGATGTGGAAGAAGATGTGGCATGTATCAGGAGAGAACTACCTCCGGTAGATGCAGCGAAATCTCCAAGTGAGTGTGGAGAAGCAGTACCGAATTCTGGTGATGATGTGCGTAGCGTCTCAGACAGTGAGCTGATGGACGTAGTCGACATCCCAGAGGCTACTTTGGAAGAAGAACTACTCAAAGAAGTTGGATTGAGTGTTACTGCTGAGCCTTAGCTTGTTTGTTTGTGAGGAGACATCAGTAGAAACAGTCTTAGTACCCTGTGGTTGGTTGCCTGGACAGAAATGAACAAATGAGTTTTGTTTTGCTGCGAGAGTGAAACGTTGATCATATGTGACCTAGAGGTGTAGAAGGTCGGTGGCTGAGAAAGATAAAGCTGAAAGCGACAGAGAAATCCGTTAGGTCAGTCTTGTGATGTTTTCACCCGCGAGCTGCTTGAGAGTTTTTGAGGGTATGAGTTTTGGACAGAACACCTGCTCGTGTTTCCGCAGCTGTTTTCTAACTGTTTCGTGTCAAGAGCATTGAGACTGTTGCAGTGTGTGTATTTTGGCTCTGACAGAGCGGCTTTAGCAACAAGATCCACCTTTTTGTTCTTTTTTTGCTGGTTTCATAGTTTTTACGCCGGAGGATACAGTCAAAAGTTTTCTTTGAGGGAACCGAGTGTTAGTGTTAATCCAGTTTGTTTTAACGCCCTTTTCTAGATATAGTTTTCTCCTCCTTTTTCAGAATTATAGTACCTCCTTCTCCTTTTTCTCGACTAGTAGAAGATTTTTAAGTAAATTAATTTAAAATTATAATTTCAGAACATGGAGTCACTTAAGCTCTGGATCGCTTTAGCGCCCAAGCAGTTGGAAGAGTTGAACAAGGGCAATGAGGTTTTTCCAGGTGGATACTCCGGTCGCTTTGGTCTGCGTTTGGGACCTGCGGAAGCTGTGGATCGTGCCCAATACTTTATGGATTGGACGCCTGATGGATTGAAAGGTGAGTACCATCAGAAAGACTATGCAGTGATGGAGATGGAAATCTCAGCGCTTGGCTACCTTCAAAAGGTTGAGGGCGGAATCTTGGAGAAGACAAAGCCCACCGAGTATCGCTGGCATGGGCCTGTGAAGCATGAAGAACGGGATAGCCAAGGACGCATGTTATACCGTATTAGTGAGATGGCCGCCAAGTTCATTTAACTGGTCAGGGTCCAGGTACAGAAGTTGGGCAGACCATGGAGTATTAGGTATAATTTTTATTTGAAACTCCAGTTTGAAATGCAGAGGAGAAAGAAGAAAGGGTATCTTCAGCAGCCTGTGGGTCTGCGTTGCTCATGTGACAGATGGGCAGTTTGCTTTGCTGTAGTGAAACTGTGAGTTTAGACGTGTGGAGTTGCCGTGTTGAGTTGGAAGTTGACTGTAGACTTGTAGGTCGTTGGTTTGGAAGAACTGTAAGCGGCAGAGTTCACAGTCAAGAGATCAGCATGGACTGAGATTTGCAGTGAGTGTTAATCCACATGAAGAAGCAATTGAGTTGCATATTTGCATCGATGCCACGAAGCCATTTTTCTTTGCTGAGTCCAGGAGTGTAATCTCGGTTTGAACTCAATGGAGGATAGCATTCGTCTTTGGATAGCTCTCGCCCCACCACAGATGGAAGAGCTGCGGACGCATCATAGAATCCAACCAGATATCCATACCTCCAGGATCGATTTGAGTGCGACCCATGCGCCAATCGGGCGTGCCACGGGTGTTCAATTGTGTCACACTTCAACTACTTCGAGTTCAGCCTTCTTCAAGTGGAAATAACTGCTTTGGGATACTTTCGCAAGATGGAAGCAGAGATAATGGAGAAGGTTCGACCTGGTGAGTTCCGTTGGTACGGATTTCTTCTTCCAGAAGAATATGATGAGCAGGGAAGATTGCTCTATCAGGTCATCGATCCCATGGTTGCTAATGAGCCGGTTCGTGAGCGTCCTGCTAGGAACTGAAGAGTGGGCGAGTTGTAGATTATTGTGCTTTAAGTTTTTGTTTGAGCCTTGCAAGCCGTGGCAAAACGGTGGAAAGCTCGCTTTGGGTGCTTGTGATCGATGACGAGAATGGTTCAATAGTCGATGCGAACATGTTGCAAAATGAGAAGATGCAATCATGTGGAATTTCAATCTAAACGAAACGAAACAAACGAAACATGAAACACAAACAAGTTTGAGTGTTTGCAATGCTCCTTGCTCTTGCAGTTGAGATTTGCAGTCAGTGTATCATTTGACGAGTGCAGTTTTTGTGAAGATGACTTGTCGAAGGGTTCTTGCAAAACCACGGAGACCTGTTCTTTTCCAGAACATCTGCATGCATGTCAATGAGTGACAGTGAGTCTGCACTGCATTTAGCAGGGAACGCACAGTGAACTCATTAGAACTCGTGATGGTCCTCCATGGATTGGGGACTGGCATTTTTTTGTAAAGGGGTTTGGTCAGTTTCCCATGGTTTGGGACGAGTGCAGACTTTTATTGCATGTTGAAACATGTGTATCAATGGTTCGCAAAATTCCAGTATGTTGGAGACATCTGGAATTTTGGGAAACATCTTAGTCAGTTAGTTGTATTGTTGAGCATACACATCATGTTGGTTGGTTTGTGTGTTTGTTCTGATGTTTGAGACATTGAGATTGTAGGGCATGAGGCTCTATTGCCAGCAGGGATTTTCAAGTAGAGTAGTACAGGCTCTTAGAACTCGTTTGGAGCGTACGTTGAGAATGGCTGCTGAAGAAGGTCACGGTCATGGCGGCAGCAGCCGAATCCGTTCTCGTTCCAGAGGACGTGGCGCTGAGGCTGATGCTGCCAACTTGGGTCCTGAGAATTCCACAGTGTTGGATAGCACTGGTGCCGGCATGGGAGATGTTGCTGGTCCTCCGGCAGGTGCTGAAGTGGGTGATGGAACCGTACCTTTGGCAGATGGATCTGTGCCACCAGGAGGAACAATGCCAGAAGGAACTCCAGGAGAAGTGAATGCTCCGTTTCCACCGGTTCCTCCAGTGATCACCCCACCTGGTGATGTGAACGCGGCTGAAGTCTTGGCTGTGAGTACGGAATTGGCTCGGAAGATCTCAGAGTGTTCCAACAGGCTTGCAAATGTAAGTGAAGAGCTTGCCATCACCATGGAGTATTTCACCCAAGGAAGAGTGGAAATGAAGAAAGGATTTGAAGAATTGAGTGTCCAGATTCAGAATCAAGCGACCTGCATTTAACAACGATGACATCAGGAGTGTCGTTTCAGGCCGGAGAAACGACCAAGCTTCTCAAAGCTTTCGACCGGTGGGCTGCCACTGGTCGTTGGGCTCTAACTGGCAACCAGTCAGTGGAAGCCAACATACAGGGAGTCCAAAGTGAAGTAGAGAAGCAAACAAAGAAGTTGGAGACCAACCTCAGTCGTGGCTTTGATAGCATTGGAAGGCATCTTCGAGAGATGGTGAGACTCCTAGAGGAACGAGCTCAGAATGCTGCAGCTCCAGATGCTGTGGGAGATGCAGGAACTCCTCTCACACCAGGAACGGTCAGTGCCCCTGGAACTACTGGGCCTGCTGGGACTGCAAATCCGGGAGGATCAACATCACCCGGACCTGCCCCTGCCCCAGCAGTTCCACCACCTCCGGCAGAGCCAGTGTCACTCTTTATGGCGTTCTGTCCGGAACAGCCGAACGGGCCGAGACCAAATACTCCCCTTCCGATCCCAACACCATGCCAGCGTGTGAGCATCGTTACCAGAGATGCGGGAACGGGTGTACAGAGGACATTGCCACCGACGGCATACCGTCCTGAACAGACCAGCGGAATCACCAGTATCTGGGCTCCCCAGGGATTGGGGATGATTCGTGATGGGAACTCTCAGTTCAGGAGGATTTACTGAGAATGTGAAGATTCGGGACATCGACTACTGAGAGTTGAGGGAAGCCCGTCCGCTTCTTTTGGGTGGAACCCATGATGTATATTCTTTTCTGAATTTCTTGCAACCTGTGCGGTAGAGAGAATAGTTGGTAATTGGTATTCCAACCTTTGGCCAGCTCGAGGTTCACTCTATTCAGCATGTATTCGTTGCCGTCACTTCAGATCTCTGTGCTCAGCAGAAAAGGAGAGAGGGAAAGCGGATCTTGAAAGGGGGCGAGAGGTTGCATTAGTGCAACCTAGAAGAAGTTCGCATCATGGAGTTGAGTTGTATCCTGGAAGGATCAACTCTTGGTAGTGAAAGTGGATGTGCAGTACATGCATGAGACATAAGTTGCACATGAGCATGTTTGTGGATTTGTTGTGAGTTTGTGTTTTGTGATTGTTTGTTTTTTGTTGTTGTTGATGGTGGTTTGTATTTGTCTGCCGCCATTTTCCAGATGATGACATGGCCAGGTCCGATTCTCGAATGAAAGAAGAATCAAAGAGGATCCAGGCTAAATGTCTGATGGAAATACATGTAAAATCTTTTGTTTGGTCAAAGTGTTTTAGTTTTTTTGCCCATGGATGTCAGTGGATTGGACATCCCTGACTTAAGGTACATGTCAATATTGTTGGAATTGTACTCTTGACGTTTCTAAATATGTTGATGTCAGTGGAATGGATTTCCCTGACGTTGTTAATATATGTTTGTGAGTAAAAATGGTTGTAAGTTTGTTTTGGTAGTTTTTTCACTATGCGATAGATCAGCTTTTATGCTGACCAGAATTCATTTCTTTAGTGATGTTTGAGGATTGATGGATTTTACCTCAAAAGGGGGCAAGGTCTGTCTTTGGAAATATGTCATGAGCTTAGCGCGCCTAATACTTAGCTTGTCCGAAGCTGAGTCTGCGTGGTGCAACAATGTCTTGAACTTAATTTTATTTCCACGAATGTGGATTTTGTCTGAGTATTTTTAGACTGATGACAGTTTCGCTTGTCTGACACGCCTATCTTCCATTGGAAGACGTGGATTAGCTGAAACAGTCGGCCTTTGTTTTTGTGTTGACTCCGACAGGGCTTCGTCTGTCTTCGTCTTGGATCTCGTGTGTGTTGTTGGTGTTTTTTCGTTTGTTCTAGGGAACAACAAACAGCACTGTAGTTGATCGTGAATTGACGCCATGGTCTCTTCGATCAGTTGATGATCTGGTATTGGAAGAAAGAAATCGTTCCGAAGAGACACCTTGGGACGGTTGATGGATTCTGAGCTGGTGATGTTGACTGGTTGAGGATAGATGGGAGCTTTGCCCATGGAGACGTCTATGGAGTATTGCTGAAATCAGCGTTGGCGATGGTTATGGATATGAATAGACTGTTTATTTATGATGAACGAAGCGTTGGAGGGACAACCGTTTTTTTTGAGAATCATCCAGAGCTGGAGCGATTCTATTCTACTTTTAATCTTGAACGACTTCAAGCTGGAAGATACTTTTGAGAATCAGTTGATTTCTCAGAGACAGTTATATTTTTTGGAAACTTCGTGTGTTTCAGAAGAGTTTAGACTTCATTTACGCTGGTGGATGAAGAACATCTAAAAGCACTTCAACAAAGTCTTCAACATTATTTCGAAGATGTGCTGAAATGATGGAATATCGAAGTCTATTGGCGAATACAACGTCTTCTACACCTCTGACATTGAAGGTATGTCGAAGTTCATACTGGATGTGAATTTTAGTATGTATGTAAAGAGAGAGATGAATGTCATGTCGAAAGGGGGTGTGGAAGTTTGTCACCCTTATGGGGTTGCAACTTGGCATTGGTGCGACAAGCATTCATTGAGTCTTCAGTAGTGAAACTGGACTATGGGAAGGTGTCTACAACAGACTTAAGTAGTTTCGATATTCCTTTGTGGTACACGGAGCTGCAAGAGATGATTTGAGATATCGACCTGTGGGTCTGAGTGAATCTACACGGAGCTCAAGCTACTTTGAATACAGTTTGAAGCTTTATTTAGCTTTGTGACAGTGGGCGAATGCTTTCAGAAGCATTCGCTATACAGTTGAGTCGGGATGATGTGATTTCATCGATCTCGGAGGTTCCTTGACTCCTTATGGGAGTGTGAATCTGACGGAGATGGTTTTGGAACATCCGTTTCGATTCTTGACGTTGCTTCGTACATCTGAGATGTTTGTGAAGCCTTTTGATTACTTCTTGCGAGTATGTGAGATATTCCGGCATTGTGAGGACAATGCCTACGTATAGTATTCGACCTCTGGGTATTTGATCTGGAAGTCTACTTTGTGACCTTTGTATTTGTGACTTATTGCTGACGTTTGGTTATTGCAGTAAGCGAACTACTTTAGCGCTATGACTGCTGATGACTGGATATTAGCTGAGAAGTCGAGCAGAACATTCTGCTCTCCACGGTGGTTTGGAGCTATGAGAAGATATCTCTGTGTGAAGAACTGTTTTGGAGATGGAACATGAGGTTCCCATGTTGTTCTGTATTGCAAGAGAATTTGGTAAAGGAATTTGAATGGATCATTTCGTTCTTGAATAGCCGTGTAACTAGTCTAGACGTTTGGTAGAGACTAGTAACACCGGCTAGCTGGTTATTTGCGTTTGGACGAGAACCAGTTTGACTTGAGAACTTTTGGAAATGTTTCTGACGTTTTGTGACTAGGTGATTTGTATATCATAGCAGTTTGGAATTGTTTCAACAACCTTTGAGGGAAGGTTGTGTATTGGAAACCTGGAATCGAGTTTTCCAGTTGAGACATCGGCTCAAGGGAGTGGTGTCAAGTGTTCCGAAGCGAACTGAACTGCAGTGTCACCTAGGGCATTTGAAACAGTAGCCACACTGGAACACCTTTTGGTTTGTGGCCGTGTGCCTGCCTTGGTTCCTGTTGACCTGTTCCGTTGTGTGTGGCGTCTGGAGAGAAAAGAAGGAGTCTGACGTGCACTTAGGAGTCAGGGTGGAACAAGTTCCTTTATTTTGACATTGCAGGGAAGTAAGTAACTGCGGGGCCGCAACCACAGTAGGTGTTTGAGTCTGGCGTAGTGAGATAACGAAAGCGTTGATTTGGGTACACGAGAGGTGTACTTGGGTTTACGTTTTTCACACCCTGGGACAGCCCGGGGCGCCCGTGAGCAGCAAAGACTGCGCACATGGATCGTTTACCCCTTTTGCGGATCAGAGGCTATCTGGTTGGCTCACTCGTCGGGAGAGTGGTGTTTTTTCTGGATTTCCTGGCTGACCCAATGGTATTGCTTTGCTGCAATGCACTGCAGGTACTTTGCTGAGACGAAGACGCTCTGGGAGCACCTGAGCAGTCCTGCAGCTACACACAGGTTTTGCCCCCCCGTGACAGTGCATGTTTTGGTGAAGAGTTTACGGCTATGGCAAGCATGTCATTCGACATTACGATGAGGTGCTGACCATGCTTGATTGTGTCTGCGACGTTCTCCCCTTTTGACGCAGCACATAGTCCTGTCCACCCTGAGACGCCCTTGATGTATTTGTGGCTTTTGACGGATGGTCTCTTACCTGGCCCTGTGTGACCGCTTTGTCGTAGCCACTGGGCCGCTCCCCGCAATGGGGAGGGGCGTGATGATACATGGCCGCCAACGTCATTTTTCCCCTGCTACCGCTGACGCTTTATGGTACCTGCTCGCGCTTTGTACATGGGCATATGAACAAGTACTTGTGAGAGGACTCTGAGAGGCTGGGTTAGGCGAGCGTGTACAGCAAATGCGACCCATTGTTGTTTTCTCGGCAACAACGCTGATCGCGTGTCTCACTTCATTGGGTGGCAACTAATTTTGCTGCATGTTTTTGAGTTTGCGACACAGTGGGTTTTCACCACTGTGTCCTTGGCAAATCTTTTGTGGTTGTTTCTGTTGGGCTCTTGCCCCTTTCGCTGTTTGCTTTGCTGTCCTTGTGAAGGTGAGACGCAAATCTGGCTGGGGGATCTGCGTCTTGCCCTTTGGTTGTGGTGTTTTGTGTTTGGTGGTCATGATTTGCCAATTTGCATGCGACCACCTGTGTCCATGTTGAAGTTTTCTCGATAATAGCTTATTCTCATGTAAGGACCGAGCCTTAGAGCGTGATCGGCCGCACCAGAGAAAAAAGCTGATTCAAGGTCTCCAGCCCCACCTGCATGTTGCCCATCTTTGCCAAAGCACCATGTTGTTTGGAATTGTTTGGGTGTTGTTGTCGCAGGCTTTCGCAGCATGGCCTGGGTGAGGTGCTGATTCTGCGGCGACATTGCTGGCCGGATGCTTTTTTCTGCGTTTGCGTTGGCAGTGGATCGTTTTGTCACGATTGGGCGTCGCACTGCTCAGTTTTGTTTTGGTCTTTTGATGCGTTGTTTGTTTTTGGACTCCCCCTCCCTTCGCCCCTCTAGACTCCTAACGCATGCAAAAGGGCACTTTGTACCTTGGCAGGGACTTGGGAACAGATCCGGACTAAAATTCTAAGAGCTTTCGGGGGGATGATGGCCGGACCTTGGTGGCCACCTGCTTGGGGACCCCTTCTAATAGTATTATAGTATCCCGAGTCCCCGTTGAAAAAAAATCTCAAACGCCTTGTCAGTGCGATTGAAACTGAAAACCTCAAAAATCTCAAAACCGCGGTTCATCTTGTTAATTGCATAGTAAACTGAAAACCTCAAAAACCTCAAAAATCTCAAACGCCTTGTCAGCGCGACTGAAACTGAAAATTTCAAAAATCTCAAAACAGCATCTTGCGCATCTTGCGCTTTCTTGCGGAGTCCGGGCGACATATTAAATTGTTCGATTTGTTTGATGCTGGTTTTTGGGTTGGAAATGTATATAGATTTTGGACTCCCAAAGGTGGTCCTCCCCAGTAGTGAATAGAAGAGAGATGATAACATTGTATCAACTCAAATTGGGTATGGCGGAGAAATAGAAAACAAAGAGACCAAACGAACATCACACACATCGCCACACCAAAGAAGTGAGTAA